AAGCAGTGGTATCAACGCAGAGTACTATAGTGAGGGAACAGACAGTAAAGGTATCGGATCAAGAACGACTTGGGTAAGTTAACAAGTAGTAGATTAATAAAATAGATAAGCAAAATATCAATATATTTTAGACTTTATATACGTAAATTCATAAAAGACGTTCATGTGGCTGCCCGACGTAAGTGTCCGGAAATTGTTTTCAAGAAAAGCATGCTACACATCGGTAGAGAGTATGTGAGTAAAAGAGAATATTTTTATGACCTTAATATATTTTATAATATTTAGTCTATGACGCCAACTATGGCCGCGTATAGATTCAACATAAACCTTGACCAATGGAGTGGATTACCATTAGAAGCTCTCTTCAGTCCTTCTGAGAAGGAGTCAATAGAGGTTTTTTTTTATTTTTTTTTTATTTTTATTTTTATTTTTTTTAAATGTGTGTGTGGTTAACTTAAGATCATTTTAGAAGGGGGAGGTCGAAAAAGGTGGGTTGCGTCTCACGGGTGTGAACCTTACCAAGCCTTTGCATGGAGAAAACACTAAGGAGGTAAGATTGATAGTATATAGTTATTTATTATGCAGTTTAATTATTTTTTTTTATTTACAGTTTTTTATGGAACAAGTAAATCTTTTTATGTGGTGTTAGTATTCTTTATGTTTTAAGGTGTGTGTGTGTTTGTGTTTGTGTGTGTGTGTGTGTGTGTGTGTGTGTATGTGTGTATGTGTGTATGTGTGTGTGTATGTATGTGTGTGTGTGTGTGTGTGTGTGTGTGTGTGTGTGTGTGTGTGTGTGTGTGTGTGTGTGTGTGTGTGTGTGTGTGTGTGTGTGTGTGTGTGTGTGTGTGTGTGTGTGTGTGTGTGTTCCCGTCGTTCCCGTCGCATAGACGGTGACTTCCTTTCAGTTTAACCTTAACTTTCTTATTAAAATTTTACATAATACATTAATTGAATTATATATTTTAAAAAATATTATTTAAAAAAAATAATAATAAAAAATAAAAAAATAAAAAAAATAAAAAAAAATTTAAAAAAACCTTTAAAAATAATTTAAAAAAAATAATAATAAATAATAATAGTAGTAGTAAATAAAAATAATAATAATAATAATAAGAAGAAGAAGAATGATAATAATAAATGAATAAATTAATTGAAAATAAAATAAAATAAAATAATAAATAATAAAAGATAAATAAATAAAAAACTTATATATCTACACAGATAATATAATTAATAAAATAAATAAATGAAAAAATAATCAAATAAACAATTTACTAAATAATATTATTGATAACAATGAAATTATCCACTTGCCCATTAGTCCCAGACTAATCCTGTTATTCTCAACCCTCACATCCATTCAGCTTGTAGCAAACGTTCCTTCTTTTGATCTATAAGATATGATCTACGAAAAATCCTTATCTTGTTGATGCTTCGAAATAATACGCAGCGAATGATATAAGATTGGCTTGCATTGCGCTATGTTATCATCGATCAATTTAGCACGCAAGTTGAAACACATACTCAGTTAACCATACTCAGGCAAATGTGGCCTAAAATCATAAATTCTGACTTTGCCGACATCCGCCACTTATCACTCATTTTGATTCCATTCCAATATTTTCTTTTCATATTCTTTTCTTTCTGCCTCAACTTGTATATCATTTTCTTACCGACACTACTAAGTCTGTTTAATTCACTTTTCTTTCATTAACACTATAAATACTAATTTTTTCAGGCTCATCCAAATTCAATGCCAAAAATATTAACCTACACTATCACTGTATTCTGTTATTCTACATAGAAAACACTAATACCAGGTAATTTAGAAATTGTTTCATTATAGTTTGTTAACTCTGTGGATATATTCTTTATGGTAAAACCCAAGCTCGATCTCATTCTTATTTATTCTCATATTATGCCTTTCAATCGTTTAACCTTTCCTTATACATAGCTCTTCAGCAGATATCACTAAAGGGATGATATACTTACAATCCTTTCTTGGAATTGTCAGATTTCATCCAAATTAGTGAGAACTGCAAAAAATGTTCCTCTGAAATTGACTTAAATAACACATATTTTCCTACTGTCTTCTTCCTTTTCCCTTACTTCCTTTTGATAGTTATTTCCTTAGGTTCCTATTTTTACACACAAACACATTACACAATACTCATACTCATACTCATACTCATATTCATACTCATACTCATACTCATACACATATCATACTCATACGCTTACTCATACTCATACTCATACTCATTCTCTTACTCATACTCATACTCATACACTCATACTCATACTCATACTCAAACTCACACCCACACATACACACAATCATACACATACACATACACATACACACACACACACACACACACACACACACACACACACACACACACACACATACACACACACACACACACACACACATACACACATACACACGCACACACACACACACACACACACACACACACAAACACACACACACACACACCTTAAAACATAAAGAATACTAACACCACATAAAAAGATTTACTTGTTCCATAAAACTAAAATAGTCATAAAAATTTCCTTTGCTTCAGTAAAGACATTCTCTATCGTATCAATTGTTTTCTTTTTCCCTTTCCTTTTCTTGCTGTATACCAGATGGTCCAGGTTCGTCCTCAGGCATTTCACACCGGGGCCTCTTTCTCTCAGGACCCTACAAAAAATTTTTAAGTGCAAAGAAATTAACTGTAAATAAAAAAAAAATAATTAAACTGCATAATAAATAACTATATACTATCAATCTTACCTCCTTAGTGTTTTCTCCATGCAAAGGCTTGGTAAGGTTCACACCCGTGAGACGCAACCCACCTTTTTCGACCTCCCCCTTCTAAAATGATCTTAAGTTAACCACACACACATTTAAAAAAAAAATAAAAATAAAAATAAAAAAAAAATAAAAAAAAACCTCTATTGACTCCTTCTCAGAAGGACTGAAGAGAGCTTCTAATGGTAATCCACTCCATTGGTCAAAGTTTATGTTGAATCTATACGCGGCCATAGTTGGCGTCATAGACTAAATATTATAAAATATATTAAGGTCATAAAAATATTCTCTTTTACTCACATACTCTCTACCGATGTGTAGCATGCTTTTCTTGAAAACAATTTCCGGGCACTTACGTCGGGCAGCCACATGAACGTCTTTTATGAATTTACGTATATAAAGTCTAAAATATATTGATATTTTGCTTATCTATTTTATTAATCTACTACTTGTTAACTTACCCAAGTCGTTCTTGATCCGATACCTTTACTGTCTGTTCCCTCACTATTCTTATATCCTCGTTATGAGTACTGTTGTACTCAGCAAGGTTATTCCTTCCTACGGAAAGAAAGTGACGCCAACAATCATAGGATATTTTTGCCTAAAAAGTCGATTACCAACCTTACTAAGCTTTTAACTTTAATACTCACGCGAATTGCTGGAATGCCCTTATGCACTCCTGCGCCTGTCGGCCAGGAAAAGGCTAGTGGGCGGTCCTTGGGATATCTGAAAAGCCACATATATATTTTCTAAAAATCAACTTACACCAACTCACTTGAGTATATTTTCCGAAAAGTCAGCTAATACCTTGTCGTAAGTTCTCTTGTGTGGATTACGTAAACCTAACACTCGTACCCACTCAATGAGTACTTTACGATTGACGGATTCCTGGAACTGCTCGACTCGATCTGACATCTCACCTATAAATATTTAAACAACACTTCAGTAAAAATGTTATTATATAATCTAAAAGATTTTTTAGTTACTAGACTAGATCAGTACAACACTGGGAATATTTTGGAATCCTATCCTAAAAATTATTACCATCCTCCACAATTCGTTGGTGGAAACTGTATCACATTTAATACTCAGGCAATAGTCTTCGCAGGACCACTCCCTATAATGTAAATCAATAATACAAAAATATTAAATGTAAATAGTAACTACATAAACAATGGCCAAATATTTCTCACACAAATATTTAAGAATGTGTCCCTAAAAATAACTCACTTATTATCACACAAAAACACACACAGACACACACACATACATACACACACATACACACACACTTACTCACACACACATACACACACAACACACAACACACGACACACAATACACAACACACAACACACAACACACAACACACAACACACAACACACAACACACAACATACAGTACACAACACACAACACATAACACACAACACACAACACACAGCACGCAACACACAACACACAACACACAACACACAACACACAACACACAACACACAACATACAGTACACAACACACAACACATAACACACAACACACAACACACAGCACGCAACACACAACACACAACACACAACACACAACACACAACACACAACACACAACACACAACACACAACACACAACACACAACACACAACACACAACACACAACACACAACATACAATACACAACACACAACACATAACACGCAACACACAACACACAACACACAGCACACAACATACAGCATACAACCTACAACCTACAACATACAACACACTACATATTACACACTACACACTACAATTACGCATAACACACAACACATTACACACAACACACAACACACAAAACACAGCACACTAAACACTACACACTCCACACTAAACTATACACATACACATTGCACACAACCAACACACAACAACATACTACATACTACACACTACAAACTAAACACTACAGACTACACACTACACATTGCACACAACTACACACAGCACACTACACACTACACACTGCACAATGCACACTACACACTACACACTACACACTACACACTACACACTACACACAACACACTACACATTACACACCACACACTACGCACAACACTCAACACATAACACATAACACACTACATACTACACGCTACACAATACACACTACATACTACACATAACACGCAACAACATACAACACACGACACACTATACGCTGCACACAACACACTACACACAGCACACTACACACTACACACTACATAATACATACTACACACTATATAACACACTAGACACAACACTCAACACACACACAACACACTACACACTACACACTACACATTACATAATACACATAACTCACTACAACACACAATACCACACAACACATAACATACAACACACTGCACACAATACATAAAACGCAACACACTACCCATTACACACTACCATTGCACATTACATCTACACGCAACACGCCACACGTTACACACTACACACTACACACAACACTCAACACACAACAAACAACACACTACTACATACTATAAAATACAAACTAAACACTACATACAACACACAACACAGCACCAAGCAGACAATATAGAACGCACAACACATATTAAATATATCGATACACATTTTCAAAATCCCTGCCTCTTAGGGGGCTGCAACTGCAGCATTGTTACTTTTAAAAAAATTTATTCTACCCAACACCGTTTTTCCTACTTTTCTTCCATTTTTTAATTTCCTCATTTTATCCCTTGTCCCATTCTTATACATACTCTTAGATAAGAGGGCCTGCCCTCTTTCAAAAAACAGGGACTCTTTTGATGGGGTTAAACCAGTGGTAAGCCGGCAAGGAATGGTAGCTTCCACGCCTCCAAAAGGGTCAATTCTATGCCTTCACACATTTTTCTCTTTCATGCCCATAGAATCAAGGGTTAGCCAGAACCCTGGTAGCAGCCCTACCGAATTCACCGTTCCTCTGCCTATGGAATGGACCTTCCATAAAGCTTAGATCATAGGTCACTCAAAAAAATTCAAAATTCTCCCAGTGGTTTTGATAGTAGTAGTTATTATAAAAACACCAAGTTTATTAAGTGCAGGGATACTAATTCCAAAGAATATTACATAAAAAATTTCGGAGACAACAAAAAATTCCAACCTTGCTCTGATAATTGTAGATACTGCAACATCATCAATCAAGAATCATTGATCAAGTCAACTACTACTGCCACTAATATTCACTGTTACATTGGAGACAATACTTCCTGTAATAAAAGAAACGTAGTCTATTGCATAACATGTGAAAATTGCAAGAGACAGTATGTTGGGATTACTACCAGGAAAATAAAGGAAAGAATAAGAGAACACATCTATCATATAAATAAGGAAGATTTGAATAATTACCTTTACTCACATTTTTCAAAAGAATGTAGAAGCATAAAATACAATTTCAAATATTAGATAGTTTGGAAAGCAATGCAGATAAAAATGTTCTGTTAGAAAAAGAGTTATTTTGGACTAAACTTCTCCTTACAGCCTATCCATTTGGATTCAACGATAATATCAAAGGATATGGAAATATATCAAATCTAGATAATCCGTTGAATTATAAACCCAATCACCCTTATTATAATCTTGAAGTTGTTAAAGAAAGAATAAAAAATAAAAATAAAAGTAAAAATAATTTTGCTAATAAGACGACAAAAAAACAAAAACCACACATAAGTCAAATTATAGAAAAAATCAACAAGATTGATAGTAATCTTCTTCTTTACAGGTACATTCATTCTTTAAAACTTTCAAGCATTAAAACACTGATAGGATTATGTTACAACACTTCAACCATCTCCCAAATTAAAGAACAGAATAGAAGCGTTCTAATTTGCATTCTTTGTAAATTTCAATTCAAGACATTGAACAAAAAGTCGGAAAATAAAGATATGCTTACCTGTAAAGTAAACTACATTCATCCTATTCTAGATAAAATCAATATAAACAAAATTTTAAACAATAACAAACTAACTAGCATTATTAAAACAAATTCTAGAATAGAATATAAACCATTCAGAGTTGTTTTCCAATACGACAATCCTATTTCGTCAATAATTTTCAACTTTAATAAAACACTTAGAAATTTAACAAATGATATCCTACTTAAAAATATTACCCAAGACTGCATATGTTGTTCAACAGATTTTAAAAAATATATCGATCCTTATCATAAACATATCATTACTGGAGATCTTTCCATAATTAAAAATTATTCTATCACGAAAGTTATGAACAAAGGAACAAAATACAGAGTCATCAATAGAATAAATAAAAATAAAATATTAGATTGGATTGAGGAAACCTCCAAAAACCTTACCAATACTATTAGAAATAAATATAAAACTAATGTTTGTACAAATAATAATATTAAAACATTTATAGAAAAAAACTTTAAGCATAAACTAAAACCCCTTTTGTATGGTGAACGCCTAGAAAGAGATACAGTAAGACTTAACACACGCTCTCTAAATAAATGGCAAAGTTATTTTGTTTTTTGTCCAATAGATAAAGCCAGCAACAATTACGGTATAATGTGCAAAAAATACTATCTTCAAGTCATCTGCCAAAACATGGGTATTAAGATAATTAACGGGAAAATCTCATTCAATGAAGAAGCCCATAATACTTATAAATTAAAAACAGAAGCGAATGTCACACAAATCCTTGAAAAACACAGAATGTTTTGTGATTCTTTTAAAATTAAAAATATTATTAATTCAGCAATACCAATTGTTTATAGTTTACCGAAGCTACACAAAAACCCAATTAAATTCCGATACATTACAGGAGCATATAACAGTAGTATCAAACCTATTTCAGTAGAATTTAGTAAGATATTGGACTTCCTTCGAAAACACTTTAAAAATTATGTCAATTCAATTAAAACACGTAATAAAAATTTCATTGGTTATTGGTCAATTAATAACACCGACATTAGCTATTCCCTTAATAGCATCACATTCAAAAATATGAAGCTGTATTCCGCAGATTTTACAGATATGTTCAACAATCTAAGACATGAGGACATAATTAAAAACTTAAAGGAAATACTAAAAATATGCTTCAAAAATTCCAATAAAAAATTTATATCCAGTAATGGATATAACGTTTATTACACAAACAAACAAGACAAATATAACTATAGATATTACGACATATACGACCTTCTTTACATTTTAGACTACATTCTAAAGAATAGTTTCTGCCGTTTTGCAGAATATACTTTCATACAAGTGATTGGAGTTCCACAAGGGAGTAATTGTAGTCCACTTCTTGCGGACCTTACATTATCATACTACGAATACATATACGCTAAAGATAATTATCGCTCTCTTTCCAACTTTATACCTTTCAGATACATGGATGATATATTGATTTTACATGACAAAACTAGTAAATATATAAAAAACCTGCTCATGCAGGTATACCAAAACACCCTATCGCTAGAAACAACACATACTGACGAATACAACTGCAATTATCTAGATCTCAGTATAAACATCAACAATGACAAAATAACTACCAAGTTATACAATAAAACAGATAGTTTTGAATACAGTATACATCGATTTCCTCATAAAAACTCAAACATTTCGATACAAGTTAAAAGATCTGTTATATATACTGAAATACTTAGAATAGCTAGAACATGCACATACAAAACAGACTTTGTAGAACGTATTAAAAAATTGAATGATCATCTTGTTCAAAAAAATGGCTATACACACGAACTTTTTCTCAGCTGTATGTTCAAATGTATTCATAGAAACAAATTCATAAACGTAAAATACTGTCCCGAAAAAAATGAAAAGGAATTAATTAGCTTTATAAGAGATATTTTCAATTAAGATTTATCACATCGTATTCA